CTATGGAAAGCTGCGTGGAGATTCCTCAACCTGCTAAAGATGGAGCTTCCATATGATCCAACAATTCCACTCCTAGATATTTACCCAAAGGACACAGACACATTAATTCCAAAGGGCACCTGCATGCCTATGTTTATAGCAGTACTATTTACATTAGCTAAGCTATGGAAACAACCCAAATGGCCAAAAATAGATGACTGGATCAAGAAGTGTGGTACATTTACACAATGGAATATTACTCAGCAATCAAAAAAGATGAACTCATGCAATTTGTAGCAACATGGATGGAGCTGGAAGGGATCATGCTCAGCAAAATAAGTCAGAAAGAAAAACAAAATTACCGGATGGTCTCACTCTTAGCAGAAATTTAGAAAACCTAAATAAGGGACCAGGAAAAAGACTAATCAATACAAAGTAAAAATCAAAATCAACAAGCAACTATAAACCAGAGACACGCTATGGGGGTGGGGGAAAAGGGAGTAGGATCAAAACAAGAGTGGTGGGAATTGTATGTGGACTATAACCAAGATGAAAATGCCATTGTGCAAAAATGAAAAATGATGTAAAAATATATATAAAATTTATTTTTTTAAAAAATACAAAAAATAAAATATAAATTTTTGCATATGCTTTAAAACTATTTAGATGCATATGCTCTAAGTCAGATAAATGAAAGTGCATAATCATGAAAAAATTGTCCAGCACCTATTACAGACCTTACGCTGCTCTGGGCACTATTATCTCCCTATTAACTCAGATGCATTAGCTCAGGAAGTCCTCTTTGGCTATCTGTGGTAGTGGTATCACCTTCTGTGAAATTTTCCTGTTTAATTGCATTGTTGCAGCTATGTTTTCAAGTCCTTGCTCATCTTGTAAAACTTAGACTTGTTTGTATGTAGAACTACCAGAGAGATTTTTCTTTTTCCTTCTCTGTTGTCCCTTACCTACTCTTCCCAGAGATGTCTATTTTATTGATTTAAAGAAGACATTTATCACTGAAGTGTAGAGTTTTTACAATTTTACTTTATTGGCGAAAAGGGGGAATATAAAAATTGATGTACAGTTGAACTGTATCATCTGAGAGAACCTTAAAATATGAAGAATGAATGAAGCTGATTTGTAGGCTGACAATAGTTCACACTGGCAAATACACATTCAAATCACTGCAAGAATTTTTTCAGATACATCTTTGAAATTAGGAGCTCTACCTAAAGATTCCAGTAAATCTCATTGAAGGGTACGGGATGCAGTGTTTATAAAATACTTACTGTACATTTTCTGAGATCCTCTGTATGCTGGGCACAGCGAGAACATTTTCACTCTCTTTTATATTTATATTTTAAGAAATTGGTTTACAACACTGTGTCCTTCAGAGGTTTAGGATCGTCACTCTTCATGTATATGTTCCCACATCACATCCACCACCAAGGCATCCATAGTCCTCTACCCTAGTCCATCAGTTCCCCTTCCACACTATTCTTTTTAACCCCTCTCCCCTCCTCTGGTAGATTCAGTTTTAGAGTTAGAATTGTAGGGTTTGTTCTTGGTTTGGTTCTGTCTGATCCTTTGTTCTGTTTCACTATATTCCATATATTTTAAGCAAGGGATTTTAATTGCCCACCTAATGTAAGTCTTGCAGTAATTGTATAAGGAATGCATGTCATATCTTTATATAATATATAATTTATATAATAAATATATTAACACAAAGTAAAATACTTTATATTACATATGATTACATGTAATCATAGATAATTTATATAGAAACTGACACATCTTGTATCATTACTATGTATGGAAATGGGCTTACTCTGGGGATATTTTCCCGCAAGATCTTGAGACCCCTAATATTCAGTCAGTAGTCAAACGCTGAATCGCCTTTACTTCTATGTTTTTTTTTTCATTATACAACACAATCATTCTTCCATATTTTAATCAAACTGATTTTTGAGAGAAACGAAAATGGAGATTTTTGCAGTTTACATTAGACAACCAAAACTTTGTTTTTAAATGGAATAAAAGTATAAAATACTGTTTCGGGGAAAATTTTCATATGTAAAAGTCATGGACAACAAGTGCTTAATTTCAAATTATCAGCCTAACATCTCAATATGACATCATGAACATCATCCTAGCATTTTCTATTTCATTATGTACTGTCATTGTAGAAGTGTAGGCTGATGAAATGAGGGAGCCCATGTTTGAGTGGTTTCTAAAGGCAAAGGATGGGACAGGATGGCAATTGTTCTGGAAAGCAAAGCACATACATTTTGGCCCCCTTTTGCAAGATTTTTTTTTTTAAGATTATTTTTATACAAGAACTGGGGGTACAGGCCAGATGCACGGGAGGGTGAGAGGATTCACCAGAGACAGAGTGGGGAACAAAACAGGCAGACTGAAGAAGTACACTGCTGAAGGGAGCAGCAGGCAAGACAGGGGAGAATCGCCGTGCGGGATTCTCGCAGGCCAGCCAGGATGGAGGCCGCGCTGCAGAGGCTGCGGACAGCTTCACAGTGCAACGCACAACTGCCTGCGCCACCAGGGAGGCCCCTCTTTTGCAAAAATTTTAAGCAAGTTCCTTTTCCCTCTCTCAAAGAAGAGACAATCTTGCCCCCCTGACTTCCAGTCTCCACCTGTAATCACATGTTTCTCTGTGATTAAATGGGTGTTTTCTGCTTCCTTATGTGGAAAGTTCTTTGGACTGGTCTTTGGATGTAGCCTCCTTGGTTAGGTTCTTTCCTACTGTAAACACTAGCGATAAAGAGGTAAAATTGTCCTTAGACATCATCTCGCTCTGCCCACTAGAGATCAAATAAGAAACTTTGAAGATCACAAAAAGCCCAACTTTGGCTTTCCTAAAGCCACATGTCAATTCGGTGCAGCGCTGGAGTCAGATCCAGGCCTCTCAGTCCCACTCCAGTGACCCGCATTGCTTCCTGCATGATTAAATCTGACGTCAGACCTCATGGAGAGATGATGTTTTGCTCTTTTGTTCTATTATGTTAGTCCAGAGCTTACAAGTTTTTTCTCCATAATGAAAAATGATCACTCTTCTTAAAGAATAATTGAAATCACAAAGGCAAAGTAATCACACTGCATCTGCAGATATTGGCATTTCAGAACATTGAGTGCATAACAAAATAATCCTTAAGGAAATTAGTGTCCAAGCACACTGGCTGCTTTGACTTCCTCAGATGCACTCTCACCAATATTAATATTGTAATGAAAGATAGTCAAGGTCTTCTTTCTTTCATCTGCATTAACAATGTCTGAAGAGATGTGAGCTATTTTAATATTAAAGAGTAGTTGCATTAAATAGAAGTGTAATGCTCAGGATCAGGAAGGTAAGTCTCCAACTCTGCATTTTACCTGAAATTATGTTTTCCTGCAGACTCTGGACTTTGTGTGGGATAAGCAAGAATATTTCAGGATAAAGGGGTATTAAGTCACATCTATCCTATCAGGTTTGTGTCTAGAGAGAAGAAAAGCCAATGAGGAAAAGAGAGGAGTATACCAATCACTTACCATAAGAAGGGCTCATGTGCATTGCTTCATTTATTCCTCACAATAATCCCATGATTAGTTTTTATTCCCCATTGCTTAAAAGTGAACAGCTGGGCCTCAGTGGCATTTTGTAAAAGTTCAAAGTCACTAGTATGCAGGTAAAAGACTAGGGTTTGGAACTCTGGGACTTTTGAATTCAAGACTATCTTTTGTTTTCGTTATTCACATTTCTCCTAATGAAGGAGCAGGGGATGTTTATGTTATAGATTGAAACTTTATTTAGAGATGGTGGAGGGAGGCACTATTTTTGTCTTCTAAACTCAAGATCATTTTACGTAAGAGAATACGGATTTCTTTCCCTTATGTCTACAGTATGCTGAGCAGGAAATACAAATGTGCATGAGAAGGCATACTTACTTTTAAGATGAGACAGCCTCCTAGTAAGAGACACATGAAATCTGATTGGTCTGTTCTGAAATAGCATGCTTTTACTAATAAGTGTGATTGAGGAACTAAGCAAAAACTTCACAGGGATATAGGGAAAATTGATGTTTTATCTGGGACTTTGGGCTGGGAAGTCTCTAGGTAGACATCAAATTTTACATTTCTATCTCTTATCATTTGATGTAGCACTTTGGTTAACATAGAAGGTACATTCAACTCCTATCATTTTAAGTTCTTAAGTTTTGTGCAAATGCACATTTTTGTAAGAAAAAAATCCTCAGCAGTGTTATATTATGGCTTTTGGCTGAAATCTCATGCCTAAAATGTGCAACTGAAATATGGCTTTATGGAGGAGCTCCAAGTTTTTCAGAATTATGTACTGTTTGAGAGGGGTCAACCGCAGAACTGCACATCTCTGCAGTGTCTTCAAACACTCTGAATTGCTGAGGTCTGCAAAACTAATTTGGAAACCTTCAGAATGGGAGGTCCTTTTGGCTTCCTGTCCTCAAACTGCTATCCTACAGAATAGGAACCAGAAACAATATGCACTCACTCAAAGCCAGCAGATTGGATACTCATAGCATTAGAAGAAGGCCCTGGAGAACTGTCAAGTAGGTGAAATTCTTCTTTGATGCCCTGAAGCCTCCATAAAACCACAAAATATTGGAGGTGAAAAGTCTTAGCAATAATTTTTCCAGCCAGGGACACTAAACTGGGGCTTAGAAAAGGGAAGGAAATTATTTAAGAAAACAGTAACTTTGTTCCAAGATTAGTACAAAATTCTAAATTCCTTCACTCATTTGTTGCTTGAAGAATTACAGAATTTCAGGATGAGACAGAATTTCAAATACCATCACCTCACCAGCATTCTCCCAATTGGGTATTAGTAAGTTTTCATAAAAAAGAGGTTTCCTGATCAAATAAGTTTATGAATCAGTGCCTACTTCATTGATTTCTTAGAGATCCACAGTGCCCATCTTCAAACCTCTGAGAAGTCTCATAGGAAAACAAAACAAAACAAAAAAACTCATTTGATTTTGTTTTCCAGACTCACTTGGCTGCAGAACCATTTTCCTCTGGACACCTACTGACATGCTGGAATACACTTGGAATTTGCAGTAGACAGTTGAGTGCCAACTTTGACACTTCTCATTGAACACTTGCTTTCTCCCCAATAGGGCCACGAGATAAGTGTCCGGTTTGAGTGTCTTCACTAAGGAGGCACTGACCCAACTTACTTCCTCTTATCAAATTGTAAGTTCTTAGAGCAAATGATTGTGACATGTTCCCAGTTGTGCATCCTGTGCATGAAAGGAAGGGCTTAATAAATATGTGATTATTGCTCCCATAGAAATCCCTGGCACATTTTTCAACAATTCCAATCATCAGGATGCCTATCATACCAGAACTGCTTTGCTGTGATCCTGGTCCTCTTCAGTTTTGATCTTCTTTCTGTACAGGTGCTAACCTTGCAAAGAACTGAATGCACTGATCATTTCTCCCCTTCTTTCATAAGTCTGAACCGCTTCTTGTTAAGTATTTCTCAGTTCTTCTCTTTCTGACTCACTATGGTTTCAAGTATCCTCACCATTCTGGCCACCAATTCCAGTTAAACCCATGGGCTTCACATAATTAGATTAATCTATGTTTAGTTTTCAGCCACTCTACTTGGTAGATGTGTCAGATTCTCATGAACTTTGTAAGTGTTTTTTATAAATTAAGAAAGTGTATGTCTTATCTATCTTGTATATAGAATCATTTTAAACTCATTTAATAAGAGGTATTTATCTCTTATCTTGTAAAATCAACCCCATAAAGCTATGGTGATGTCAATGCATGTATGACCCACATAGCAGAGTATTCAGTATATGTTGCCCCTGGCACCTTCCTTTCCCAGAACCTTACTCATTTTTAGGAACCTATTCCAAAGCAGCATCATTTGCATTCATGAACACTTGTTTGAATAAGCAAAGATGGAGAGCAATATCAAGGAAGATATGCCCTTTGTGTCTAACAATTTCCAGAGAATGGAGTTCCAGTTTTGCCCCATATCTTCAAAGCTGAAATTTGACATCTTTCTTTTGCTCTCCCCATTCCTCTATAGGTCGTCTTGAGAGCACTCCCCATTAAGCCACCTATATATAAATCTCCACCAGAGTCAGCTTTTCGGGGCACTCAGTCTTGATACCCAGAGATAAAATGGGTAATTGGGAGTAGGGCTATGAACTGAGGCCTTGTAGTTATGTCAGAAGGAACAATGATCTGGCCCATGGCAGGTAATGACAGCCATGCGCCCTTGCTTCAGATTCTCTTGAGACAGAGTAGAGGTGTCAGTTAACCTCTCACCTGACTACTTAACCTGTCACCTGGATTTAATTCAGTTTCTGTTTGGATTTAGAATTTTTTTTTTTTCTCAAGGTCAGTCAATTAGGCTTCTTCCCTCCCCACCAGAGACATGGGGCATCACTTTTCTTCTTCATCCTGCCCCATCCTAATGGGGTATTCAGGGCTGGTGTGATTTGCCTAGTCTGTGTGCTGGTCCCCAACATCTAATGCTTCTTTTTTTGAATTTTATTTATTTATTTTTTACTTATTTAAATATTTTATATAATTCTTACATCTTTTTTCATCTTAGCACAATGTGTGAATTTTCATTTTCGTTATATTCCCCATGCAATTGCACCTCCCCCCTTATTTTGACTCTAGTCCTTCCTTTCCCCGCCCCTCTCTCCTACCCTCTCCCCGTAGTGTGTCTCTGGTTTATAGTTGCTTGTTGATTTTGATTTTTACTTTGTATTGATTAGTCTTTTTCCTGGTCTCTTATTTAGGTTTTCTAAATTCCTGCTATGAGTGAAACCATCCGGTATTTTTCTTTCTCTTTCTGACTTATTTCACTGAGCATGATCCCTTCTAGCTCCATCCATGTTGCTGCAAACTGTATGAGTTCATCTTTTTTGATTGCTTAGTAATATTCCATTGTGCATATGGACCACATCTTCTTGATCCAGTCATCTATTTTTGGGCATTTGGGTTGTTACCATAGCTTAGCTATTGTAAATAGTGCTGCTATAAACATAGGGATGCAGGTGCCCTTTAGAATTAATGTTTCTGTGTCCTTTGCGTAAATACCTAGGAGTAGAATTGCTGGATCATATGGAAGCTCTATGTTTAGTAGGTCCAGAAATCTCCACACAGCTCTCCATAGTGGTTGGACCAGTTTGCACTCCCACCAGCAGTACAGGAGAGTTCCTTTTCTCCACAACCTCTCCAACATTTGTTGTTGCTAGTTTTTTTTAATATGTGCCATTCTCACTGGTGTGCGATGGTATCTCATTGTAGTTTTGATTTGCATTTCTCTGATTACAAGAGATATTGAACATTTTTTCATATACCTGTTGTCCATTTTCATTTTTTCTTCAGAGAAGTTTCTTTTTAGCTCTTCTGCCCATTTTTTGACTGGATTATTTTCTCTTTTTTTGTTGAGTCTCATCAGCTCTTTGTAGATTTTTGTGATCAGTCCTTTATCATTAGTGTTGTGTGCAAAAATGTTCTCCCAGTGGGGTGTTTCTCTTTGTTTTGGTTACTGTCTCTTTTGCTGTGCAGAAGCTCTTTAATTTGATGTAGTCCCAGCTGTTTATCTTTGCCTTCACTATAACTGCTATGGGTGATGTGTCTGTAAAGATGTCTTTGAGGTGCATGTCATGTAGTGTTTCGCCTATATTTTCTTCTATGTATTTTATGGTTTCAGGTTTTATATCTAGTTCTTTAATCCATTTTGAGTTGGTTTTTGTGCATGGTGTGAGGTAGTGGTCAAGCTTCATTCTTTTGCATGTAGCGACCCAGTTTTCCCAGAACCATTTATTGAACAAACTTTTTTGCTGCAGTGCATAGTCTTTGCTCCTTTGTCAAGTATTAGTTGACCATAAATCTGTGGGCTTATTTCTGGATTTTCTATTTGATTCCATTGGTCTGTGTGTCTGTTCTTGTTCCAGTACCATGCAGTTTTGATGATTATGGCTTTGTAGTATAATTTGAAGTCTGGATGTGTGATGCCTCCATTCCCTTCTTTTTTATTTCAGAAGAACTTTGGCTATTCGGGGATTTTGGTGATTCCATATGAATTTCATCAATAATTGTTCTATTTCTTTGAAGAATGTCATTGAAATTTTTATTGGAATAGCAATGAATCTGTATATTGCTTTTGATAGGATGGCCATTTTGATAATGTTAATTCTTCCAATCCATAAGCAGGGGATGTCTTTCCTTTTCTTTGTGTCTTCTATTTCTTTTAACAGTGTTTTATAATTTTCTTTGTATAGGTCCTTTACCTCTTTTGTTAGATTCATTCCCAAGTATTTGATTTTTTTGTTTTGATAATAAAAGGAATTTTTTTTTATTTCTTCTTCTTCAGATTTATTGTTTGTGTATAGGAAAGCTACTGATTTTTGCATGTTGATTTTGTAGCCTGCCACTTTACTAAACTGATTGATTACTTGAATTAGTTTTCTGTGGAGTTTTTGGGGTTCTCTATGTATATTATCATATCATCTGCAAATAGTGATAGTTTGACTTCTTCTTTTCCTGTTTGGATTCCTTGTATGTCTTTCTCTTGTCTTATTGTTCTGGCTATGACTTCCAGCATTATATTGAAAAGCAGTGGTGAGAGTGGACATCCTTGTCTTGTTCCAGATCTGAATGGAAATGCTTTTAGCTTTTTGCCATTGAGAATGATACTGTCTGTTGGTTTGTCATATGTGGCCTTTATGATGTTGAGGTATGTTCCTTTTATCCCAAGAATTTCAAGGGCTTTTATCATGAATGGGTGTTGTACTTTGTTGAAAGCTTTCTCAGCATCTATTGATATTATCATATTTTCTAAATTTTTTTTAGATTTATTTTTATTTATTTATTTATTTATTCATTCATTCATTCATTCATTTATTTATACAACCACTGGGTACAGTCAGAAGTGCGGGAGGGTAAGAGAATTCACCAGAGCCAGAGAAGGGAGCAATGCAGGCGGAATGACCAAAGTACACTTCTGGGGGGAGCAGAGAGCGGCAGGAGAGGTCTGCACACCATGTGGGACCCTCCTCCGGTGGCCGGGGAGCAGCCGGAGATTGAACCCGCATTGCAGAGGCTGCGGGCAGCTTCACAACCCAGTGCTCAACCGCTGCACCACTGGGGAGGCCCTATCATATGGTTTTTATATTTCTTTTTGTTGATGTGTTGGATGACATTGATTGATTTTTGGATGTGGAACCATCCTTGTGTCCCTGGAATGAATCCTACTTGGTCGTGGTGAATTATCTTATGGATACATTGTTGGATTCTGATAGCTAAAATTTTATTGAGGATTTTTGCATTAGTGTTCATTAGAGAGATTGGCCTGTAGTTTTCTTTTATTGTGTTGTCCTTGTTCAGTTTCCCTTCCTTCTCAATTTTTTGGAAGACTTTGTGAAGCATAGGCATAAATTCGTCTCTGAATGTTTGGTAGAATTCATTTGTAAATCCATCAGGTCCTGGGCTTTTGTTTTTGGGAAGGATTTTGATTACCATTTCAATTCTGCTGCATGTAGTTGGTCTGTTTAGGTGTCCTATTTCTTCTTTATCTAGCTTTGGGTGATTGTAGAGTTGTAGGAATTTGTCCATCTCTACTAGATTGTTGAACTTGTTTCCATATAACTGTTCATAGTAGTTTCTGATTATTCTTTTGATTTCGGCAGTGTCTGTTGTGATTTCTCCTTTTTCATTTGTGATCCTATTTATTTGTGCTTTCTCCCTTTTTTCCTTTGTGAGCCTGGCTAGGGGTTTGTCTATTTTATTTATTTATTTTGAAGAACCAGCTTTTGGTTTCATTGATCTTTTGCATTGTTTTATTAGTTTCAATTTCATTTATTTCTGCTTTGATTTTTATTATTTCTTTTCTTCTACTGGTTTTGGGTTTTTTTTTTTGTTGTTGTTGTTCTTTTTCTAGTTCTTTAAGCTTTGATATTAGGTTGTTTCTTTGAGTTCTTCTTTTTTCTTGATGTGAACCTCTATTGCTATATATTTTCCTCTTATTACTGCATTTGCTGTATCCCATACATTTAGGAAATTGGTTTCCTCCTTGTCATTCAACTCAAAGAATTTTTTAATTTCTTCTTTGATCTCCTCATTAGTCCAGTGGTCTTCCAGTAGTGTGGGTTTCAATATCCATGAGGTAGGAGAGTTCCTTGCCTTCTTTTTATGGTTTATTTCTAGTTTGATGCCTTCATGGTCAGAGAAGATGCTTGGTATGATTTCAATATTGGTGTATCAGTTGATGTTTGTCTTGTTTCCCAGCATGTGATCGATCCTGGAGAATGATCCGTGTGCGCTTGAGAAAAATGTGTACTCAGATTTTTTTTTGGTTTAGTGTTCTGTAGCACTCTAGATCCTTATTTAGAGCTTTAGTGTCTTTACTTAGTTTTTGTCTTGTTGATCTATCTATTGTTGATAATGGTGTATTGAAGTCTCCTACTACATACGTGTTTTCTCTGATGTCTGTTTTCAAAGATGATAATAATTGTCTGATATATTTTGGTGCTCCTTCATTTGGTGAGTGTATGTTAATGAGTGTTATTTCTTCTTGAAATATTGTCCCCTTAATCATAATGTAGTGACCATTGGGGTCTCTGTTTACCTTTTTGAGTTTGAAATCTGTTTTATCTGATATAAGTATATCTGTTCCTGCCTTCTTTTTTGGTCCATTTGCTTGTAGGATTGTTTTCTATCCTTTTACTTTCAGTCTATTTTTATCTTTTGTAGTTAAATGTGTTTCCTGGAGGCAGCAAAAGTTTGGGTTTTGTTTCTTAATCCAGCCAGCAACTCTGTGTTTTTTTTATTGAAGAGTTTAGTCCATTTACATTTAGAGTTAATATTGATATGTTAGCATCTGTATTTGCCATTGTGTTTGTCTTTCCTCTGGTTTCATTTATTTATTCTTTTAATAACTTTTTTTTTGGCCTTCTTTCATTGTTATTCATTCTTCTGTTGGTTCTGGCTTTAGGACTCCTTGTAGTATTTTTTTGAGTGGGGGTTTAGTCCTAATGAAATTCCAGAGTTTCTGTTTGTCTGGGAATGTCCTTATTCTTTCTTCATAGAGGAAGGAAAGCTTTGCGGGATAGAGTATTCTTGGTTGGCATTTGTTGTCTTAGAGTCTGTTGACTATGTCCCTCCACTCTCTCCTTGCCTGTTGTGTTTCTTCAGAGAAGTCTGATGTCAGTCTGATTGGTTTTCCTTTGAATGTTATCTGTTTCTTCCCTCTTGTCAGCTTCATTATTTTTCCTTGTCTTGGATTCTTGGGAGCTTTACTATTATGTGTCTTGCTGTATTTTTCCTTTTGTCATGGAAGTTTGGTGTTCTTCTTGCTTCTTGTATGTCTATTTTCAGCTCCTTCATGTTTGGGAAGTTCAATTATTTCCTTGAATATTTTCTCTGTTCCTACTGGATGTAGAATTTTTGTCTTCTGTTTAAGGATGTTCAGAGTTCATAAAGTTGGGGCTAGAGAAAAGATGTTGTATTGGAATGAGCACTATTTGGGACATTGAACTATTCCTGTTCTTCATTGTATGTCTCAAATCCCCACTAATACAATGGATCAGTGAATCAGATAATTTCTGACGGGATTTGTGACATTGCCCTTATACTTTCTCTTTCTTTTCTAGAACTTCATCAATAATTCTCCTATCCCTTAAATGGAATTTTTAGTTCTTTCATGAAATTAACATATAGTATGAGACCATGTACTAACCCCATTGTTTGGTTTTGAAGCTATAATAACGTGCTTGTCAGAGAAAGTTTAGAAATTTACAGGGATTATAATGCAAGTGACAAGGCAAGCAATGTGAAAGGGTAGTGAGTGATAGAGATATCCAGGGCACTATGGGGTCATAGCCACAGGGACTCAGGAAACAAGAAGCAAGGAGGAACTTCCACTGGAAATGTCCTTTAAACTAAGGCTTGAAAAAATGAGCCACACCTGAGGAGAATGAAAGAGGCTCCAGACAGATAAAATATCAGGTGCAATACTGATTAATTGGAGCAACTATAGAAAGGCAACACTTGCAAAAGAATGCTAGCTCTGGTGGAGATTATGAAAATAAACAATGAGCACCAGAAAGAAGGTCAGTTTGTATTGCATTAGCTAACTTTAATAGTCTGTGCCATGACTTGAATGTGTTGCCCAGGACACATGTATCACCTGTGGACTTTTGAGAAGAATAAATTCTCAGGCCCCAACCAGACCCGCTAAACCATTGTGATGGTTGGGGCTCTGGGAATCTGTGTTTCACTAAACTCTCTGGGTGATTCTTATGCACACTAGAAACTGAGATGTGCTGTTCTGTTGTTTCGGGAGGTGAAACTGTCCTTCCTGTGTACAGGTACCCAGTGCTTTTTGAAAGTACTTATAACATCTTTGTCATTCACTTTGCTTTTGTGAAAGACCTAAATTAATACCTGTCTTGTTCAACTGAAATAAATACAGGAAAGAATTTCACTTTTGCAACAAAAAAATGAAAATAATGCTCAGCATTGCTTTTGCAGTAAGTCATTCTAGAGGCAATGCGGACACCAAGCTATGTGTGGTGCTGGATGCCTCCAAGCTCCTTACCCAAGAACTACACTCTAGCTTTGAACTGTATGAGCATCTGCACTTTAATGTGATTTATTTTGTGTGTCCCCTAGCAAGATGTGCCCAAAGGTAACCAAAAAGCCTAAGAAAGCTTGCAAGAGTGTTATAAGTACTGTAAAACTGGACATCATTGAAAACAAACAAACAACAGTAGCAAAGAGTCTGAAACTGATGTCATCCAGTATCAGAACTTCAAGCTCTTGCCTGAGATTTTCCCTAGGATTGACAGTGCTACAATAATTGCAGAAAATATAGCTTTCATTGAAAGGGCATATAATTTTAGGGCAGGTTTGCTGAGTATTTTGAGTACCTACAAAGAACTGTATGGCAGAAAAATGTGTGGTACGAAACAGTCAAGCGTTCTGTCATATTTAAAGCCTGCCTGCCATACCAGCTACAGCAGATGATGAACCTTGACCTTCCACATCCAGGCAGACAGACTGAGAAGTTATAGATGTTCTTGACTTGCCTTCCTTGATAGAGTCAGGTAACAATGAGATGCTAATAGACGTCCCTTTCCCCTTCTCTCCTACAGTCTAGCCTTGTCTCTCCACCACCCCAACCTCTGATGACTCAGCCTGACACACCATTATCACCCCGTCTCAGCCTTCCAGTGTGTCTTCTCACTGTCTTCCTGGTTCTGGTAAGTGCATACATTATTTCTATGTATTATATCATTCCTGCTCTACCAGATGCTATTGTTACTTTAGGTTTTATGTGCCATTTGGTGTGATTTGGTAGGTTATTTTTCACTTCTGGCAATGCTCAAATTCTTTCTTTTACTCATGGTAGTTGTTTCTTAGGGAAGGTTTCATAGGAGCACTCTATGTCCAGAGAGTGGGGAAACTTGTATCTGATTCAATTCTTAGCCCTTTGAGGCTGCATTCACAAAGACACAGATAATAAAACATGCAGACCTGAATATTCCTATCAAGAAGCCTGCCTCACATCCAAAACCCAAATTCTCTTACAAAGACCCTAAAATTTGTGAACAAAACATGAACTCACCAGACCCTAAAATATAGCTCTCTAGAGAGTATGATGTTTATAGGATTTGGGAATATCAATTATATAACAAAGACACTTTCCTCCCTGCAACCAGGCATAAATGTGCTAGTGGGGCAGGTCAGATATGATTTGATGGTGCTGCCATGTGAAATACCTTTTATGTGCCTTTTTTTTTAAAGGAATGGGATCATCTAGCCTCACCCTAGTCTCTTACATTAGCATGCTGAAACCCAGCCACAGATAAGAAAAACTGCCCTTTATTGTGAAAAGTCAGGTTAACACCTCTTTAGGGCAGTAAAGGAAAAGATAAATGATAATGGGAGGGAAAAAAACAATTTCCATAGTGCTTTCAGCCGTGACTAAAGCCCAGTGTAGGAGGCAAAGGCTTTTATTGAGAGATCATAACAGATAATGCATCATAAAGCCAACAAGCATCTGGAAGGACAAATGGCATGTATGAAAGCAAGCCCTTCCCTGGTAAGAGACTTTCTGAGTATACCTGGAAAATCCTTGAGGTAAAGGCTATTCCAACAATATTTTGGTGCTCAGAATCCTTAATAGTCAATCTCATCTAAAGTGTTATTTTTTTTTTTTTGTTTAAGGTAAGGCCTGAATTGATGCTGCCACTTGGCTCTTATTGGTTCATAGGGCTATTAAATACTTAAAGGGAAAAAAATGAAAACATGCCCTGAATTCTGGTAAGACTTCCAAAAGAAAGAAATTGTGAAGGAAAGGGTTCTCAGTGAGAATATTGCTCTCTAGGAAGATTAAGTGAATTTGGACTTCATAGATCCAAATTCAGATCCAGAACCTAATAAGATGCTCCGAACAATTAAAATGTCTCTCTTTTGGCAGGCCCCACCCTCTGAGAAGACAATTTTGTTTTTAAATAGCAAAGGTTTTACTTCATCACACACTCATAGATAATTTATTCTCATGCTTGTCAGTTGGCCTTATTTCAGAGCAACTGGATATTTGTGTTGGTCTTCACCAAACTGGATTAGAAGTTTAAGGTGGTATTCATCTTGACACAGACATTTGTGTTCCTTAAAGCAGCTCCCATCGTTCTTGAAACCTAGAAGGTTCTAATTAGTCTTTCTTTATGTATGCTAAAGGTGCTTTTGGATCACGATACATGAAAATCCATCTGGGTTCTGAAAAAAGGTTTCAAAGCATCGGATTAAATTGGACAGTTGGCACGTGTTAGTTTATATGACACATTCATATGAGTTTATGATGACTTAAATTTTATCAGTGCTTGAATTTTGTGCAAAGTGCATTGGTGTGTCCAGTGGTGTTTGTAACAGGGAAACAAAATCTGTAGCTATTCCCTTATCAAATCAACTTTCCTCAGCTGCTTTTGGCAGAGTATGAAACCATCTAGTTATTTTCAAAGTAAACTATTTGGAGCTCTTAAATATTATATCCATGAATGTTTTAATGTGAACTGTTTGACCTGGTAGAGTAAAAGGATCAAAGTGCTCTTTGGGACTATGTAGAGTCTCATTCCTGCCCTCCATTAGCCACCCATGTACATTTGCAACAGGGAACCTCCCCCTTTCCTGGGGACCACCGGATTGCAACAGGGTGGTCCCCAGGAAAGGGGGAGGTTCCCTGCCCCACCCAAGGGAGGGTGGAGCTGAGCAGCAGAAGGAGAAGCTGCAGGAAGAGACTGAGGAAGGAAGCAGGATGGAGCCAGGAGACCTGGAGGAGGCGCATGGAGCCTAGAGACATGTGAAGAAACTGCGCTTGTCTTTTGGTCGTGGACTGGGTGACACAGATGTGGGTGAGACCCGTGGGGAGGTGACCATGGCAGCTTTTATCTTGATGTTGATTTTGCTCTTTTCCTTCCGGGCTTGTCCGGTTGTTTGTGACCCTTCTCTGTGGGTCCCCACTGGAAGATGCTTTAGACTTTTAGCAGGCTTTGGGGCTTTGCTCTGCGCCATTCCCATATGGATGGACTTTTACCCACGAGGGGATGGGTAACTTTGGGTGCTTCATTTAGAAACTAGACTCTTTGCCTCACCTGTATTGTTTCCTAGTTTTTATTAAAGTTCCTTCCCATTAAAGTCTCCTATGTTTTGTGTTGATGCGGCGGATGGCAGAACCCATTTAGAATAGGCAGGTTTGTGGGGCTTGGGCTGCCCCTCTCCCTGTCCTATAACACATTCAGTGGATTCTTTTCCTTCCTTGGTCTTTGTTGTACTGATTTGTATAACAAGGTGTTAGAAGTTTATAGTCTATAAGGTTCTTTCAACTCTAAATTTTAAAGCTCTCTGTCAATTTTGAAATCACCTATTTTTGGTTTTACCATTTTTACACCTAATTTTGCTGTCTCTGCCGAGGCTTTGGGGAGCTAAATGTAGCGTGATGGATGATTGAATTTTCCATTAATAAGACTATTTGTCAAATACAGGTTATATTAGCATGGCAACTAAAATAGAACAAACGCTAATTTTAATGCCTTCTAATAAAGAATGCTGAAGGGACCAATGGAGAGAAGAGTATCTGGATACAGGAACCTTAACATAAGGTAGGAGAGGCTTATTACATAAGCATGGCATAGGTCAAATGAAAGGGAAGGAAAGCTGAGAAGAGGAAGTGGAGATTTCTTTCACACAGTAGGAATTGGGTGACTTGATTAAAAAAATGGCACTTGATATTTCACATATGAGCTTTTGTTTTGTTTTGCTTTGTTTTCAAGTAGGAGAGCTCCTAGACTTGTAACTGATGTACAGAGTATGTGATAAATAAAGCAAGTGGGAAATAAAAGTGGAAATGAAGTTTAGGACTGAATCATAAAAGACATCCAGGCCCTGGTGTAAGAGTCTGGAATATTTTTATATTAGTAGCTACAAACTCTGTCTATACATCAGAATATCTGGGAATATCTGTATTTTATTTATTATTTTTTAAATTGAGGTAATTGTTTACATTGTTGTTGGTATTTTAATATGTTTAAAATATCAGTGCACCATGTCCATCCTCAGAAATTAATTTAATGGTCTGCATTTGAGCCAAGGAATCAGGAATTTTAAAACTGCCCATGTAGCTGTAATATGATGCTCTAGGTAGAAATCAATGAGTGAGTTTCTGGTGGGGCCATGTAAAGTGTAAGGCAGGTGAAGGATAAAGCTGTAATATGACTTGTACCGATTTGGAGAGCTGTTTCTTCTTGGCAGATGATAGATATGAACTGCTTTGAAGGGAGAGGTCCTTGTTTTTCCCTTCTGCTAGTTTGTTTATTTTTCTACCATTATTCATTATCCCCCTTTGACCCTTTTTCTCTCCCTCGTTCCTCTTAACCTCAGAAACCTGACATTTAATTACCAATGTCCACTAATTTATAATTATTATGCTTTGTCAGTTCATCTGCTTTGTCTCCTTATATTACTCCTATATACAAAATCATCCAATATTTGTCCTTATTTTTCTGACTTTTCTGTGCTTAATACCCTCGAGTTACTTCCAATTTGCTGCAAATGGTAACATTTCATATTTTCTTATAGCTGAATAATATTCTGTTTGGGTATATGCTACATCTTCTTTACCTAATCCTGTCAGTGAGCACTTGGATTGCTTCCAAATCCTAGCCATTATAATGTTGTAATAAACATATTGCTGATTTATTTTTCTTCAAATAGATACCCAAAAGTGAGATTGCTGGATCAATATTTCCATTTTTAGTTTTTTAAAGGTAAGTCCAGACCCCTTTCCAAAAACCATTACACCAATTTACATTCCAACCATAAGGGCTCCTCTTTCCCCCACACACACGGGTTTCACTTTCCTGACATGCATTAAAGGTTTCTCTTTCTCCACATACTCTCTACCACTTGTTGAAGGCCTTTTTTTTTTTTTTTTAAGATTTATTTATTTATACAAGAACCAGGGTACAGGCCAGACTTCCGGGAGGGTGAAAGGATCCACCAGAGACAGAGCGGGGAACAGAACAGGCAGACTGACAAAATGCACTGCAGAGGGGAGCAGCGGACACGACAAGAGAGGTCTGCAGCACCATGTGGGACCCTCACCGGCTGGCTGGGATTGAACCGGTGCTGCAGAGGCTGCAGCCAGCTTCACAGCACAGCGCTCAATGCCTGCGCCACCAGGCGAGGCCCTGAAGGCCTTTTTGATGTATGCCATTCTTAAGATTCTTATCTTTAAAATACATCCTTCATAGTAAAAGTCAGCCCTGGTTCCTGGCCAAGTATCACAAGAAGAAAGAATCATACTTTAGATGAGAGGAAGACCAGAAAGTCAGTCTTTACTGGCGCTGCTTGGAGGAACAGTCAGCTTCAAGAGACGGAAGGGACTGATTGATGTCCATTGCAGCATTATTCACAATAGGTATGGTATGGAAACCAGCTAAGGAGCAATCAGTAAATGAATAAATCATTCTTTTTTAGTCATTCATACACATGTATCATGTATATACTGGTGTATAAAGTGAATATTTTACCTGCATTTTTATCTGAAATTATTTAGCCATGAGAAAGGAGAAGCCCTGACATTTGCAACATGGATGGACCTTGCACTTTGAGGGCATTATGCTACATGAAGTAATTCAGATTCAGGAATATCAATATTATATAACCTCACATATGTGTGGAATAGGAAAATGCCGAAATCATAGGAACAAAGAGTAGAATGGTGGTTAGCAGGGCTGGGGAGAGGTTTGTCCCAGAGTGTGAATGTCCAGTTGTGATTGCAATTAATAACACTGTGCTATATACTTGAAAGTGGCTAACAGAATGGATTTTCAATGTTCTACCACAAAAAAGAAATGGTAATTATATGGCGTGATGGTGGTGTTAGCTAACACCACAGTGTCCTTTTGCAATTTTGTGTGTGTCAGATAAACACATTGTACACTTTAAACTTACACAGTGTTACATGTCATTTATAGCTCAATAAATCTGAAAAATTAACAGAAGCAACATAAATGGAACTAAATGTGAGGAAGAGACCTGCACTAATGGAAAGCACACCTAAGGGTTTTATACCAAATGAAGCCCCGGGCTATACCATGCCAGTCTTACATCTTCAGAAAACATATATAAAATGAAAAATTAGGCTATGGTGGGGCTTCTTGGGGATGCTTATGAACTCTAGATAGCTGTGTTGAGGCTTTGCCAGTGCTAGAGCTGCTGTGGCTGCCAGGCGCACTATAGTCTAGGTTAGAGACATGCAGGAAGCCAACTGGCAAAGTCTTAGAGAAAGTTCTCAAACATGACTGATCCAAAGAACCAGTGAAGTGACTATTACATGAAAATGCCTAAGTTTCAATGACAAACCAGTGTTAACCTGCATGTTAAAGGATGTGACCAGGGATTCAGTGATTTTAGCTATTTCTACAGCAGATGCAACCAGTGTCTGAAGTCCCATGTTTGGGGGAAACTATGGGAGATATATAATAAAGTGGAGCTATCTGGAGTCATGACAGTAGAAGGACAACTAGGTTTGAGAGGTTCCCATAATAGTTTAATAAAGAAGGGCGTATGGTCTCATGTCTCACTCAGAGCAGGAATCTAGAAAACTTAAATAAGGGACCAGGAAATTGAATAACTATAAGAAAGTAAAAATCAACAAAAATTATGAACACTTTTTGTGGGGTGAGAGGAGGGAGGGGAGGGATTGGGGTCAGAATGGAGGGGTTGAAATTGTATGGGGAATATAAAAATAAAATTTATTATTAAAAAAAAAGAAGGGCATAAAGTTGTGCTGGACTTAAGCAATAATAGTGGGTTTAGATCTAGAAGACAAAAAGAACCACAATCATGTGAAGCAGACATACCCATGTGTCAAGACCTGGCCAAAGACAGAACGAAACATCCTTTTCTCCCTTTGCTATCTCTGCTGTCCCTTGGGACAGACAGCTCTGGGCCTCATGGAGTTATGAATCAAGAGTGTTCTGACATATGCAGCTAATAGAACATGCATTAGCTTTAAAATTAGGAGCTCTGTTCTGAGTGCCCATGATTTCATTCTTTATTCCAAGAATATTAGCTTGCCTAATATAGAAGAGAAGTAAAAATAGAAGAGAAGTAAAATTTTCATACACGTTTCCCTGATTCTCTTACAATGAATCTACCACCCATTTAGTCTTTTCACTGCCAGTTCAATTCTCTCTACCCAGGAGCCAGATCACAGCAGTGATTCCCTAATAGCTCAATTTTTGAATTACCAAGACTATTAACAGTGTCTCTAAGTGAGGGAGTTCTCATTTTAGAGTGTGTATGCCTCCTGCAGTTAAATAAAGGTGTGTGTGTGTTTGTGCACACACACTCACACATGCACACTCCAGAGGAAGGATCTGTGAGATTTTCCAAGAAGATCATAACCCAGACATTATGAATTCCCTCTCATGTGTAAAAAGGAACACTGCTTAAATTTAAGGCTCTGACCTGTGCATGTGGGTGATTCTGGATCAGCCCATCACTCCAAGTCTCATTTTACTTCCATACAGTAGGGGATGTGAAGGTAAATGCTCCAGTGTATTTAAACACCCTAAATAGGAAGTCATGGAGTACAGAGGAGTCCTGTACTTCATAAGTGATCTGATGTGTACAGAGACTGGAACCCCGTAACTGAATCTCGCATACATGTTCCATTTAGGGGGTGGGGATGAGGAATCTATGAACAAAATGAATTGCTGCACATTAATGATCTTTGTAACTGAAGTGTTTTGTCCATATGAAAGCTAGTGCTCTCCTATTCATTCACCTCAGCTGCAGACAGCTGCTTCATGGCGCTCACACCCTCTGCAAGAATGTCTGTGAAGACTGCGAGGCAGGTGGGTGCAAAGTCTCAGCCATTTTGCCCTATTACAGGGCACTGGGACAAGGCCCTCTCTGGACTGGCTATTTTGAGCAGGCCCTCATGACCTTGTTACCTCTCTATCAATTCCATGCCTTCTTTCTTCCCTCACAGGTATGGATCCCTCATTAACATCTTACATTTTAAACTCCATTACTGTGTCTGCTCCCAGAGAAAATAACCTTCCACACCTGCCCGTAGCCCACTGACCCTTATGGAAACTGAAAAGGACATTGGAGTGAGGATGAGGGACAGGTTCTCTTTCTAGCTTCCTGTGTGAACTCAGATATTTCTCTGGTCCTCAGTTAACTGGTCTATATCAGGAGAGTTTGGTAACCTCTAAAGGTTATTGAAAGAATTTTAGATAACCTCTAAAGGTCCTTCCAGCACTAACATTGCATGAGTTCCATTTATATTCTCATCACAACCACTAGAATGCCTTCTCTGTGTCTAGTTTCTTTCCCTGTGTTCCCAAAGCATTATGCATTCAAATCAGAAAGTCCTTCCCTGCATTGTCATTTAGTTTTAGCACATCTGTGTTCCCTATCTGATTTGATGAATGCCTTTGGATCAAAAGACACTGTCTTTCATTATAAAGTCACCTGCAACACAGACTTTCCAGTCTGG